ATGAACTGCTGAGAGAAATTAATTTAAAGGTGTCCCCATGGATTATCAATTACTGCTACTAATTCACAGAAAGAATGAGACAATCTTCCACTCAGCATCTGCAATGGTTAGAATACTACTCTGACTGTAAGTCAGAAGCATGAAAGTGTATCAGACCATGTGTAATACCTCTGATAGGTGGGTATCTTCTCTGGGGACATGGACATGTTCTCTGGGGAGAGTTTCAGAAATATGCCATCCAGCTGTTGCAAGCAAATACCAGTCAAAAGCAAAATAATTGTTCTTGCGAAGTAGTTGCAGAGGAAGGAATTAACATCACTCAAAGAGCTCATTCAGTCCTACTAGCAGCTCATTTATACATAGTAGAGTCTCACTTGCCCTCAAGCTGGTCAGACAATCTACTTGTACAAGACAGATAACAACACTGCAACATGTTAATGTCAAAAAAAAGTGTTTTTATTCAGTCTGATGAATATTTAGGCATGTTCCTTTATTTCACTTTACTGAATGAAGTGTGATCTCTAAATATTAAGCCACTCCTCTGCATGTGAAGATATTGTAAAGAAGGCAGGATGCTCTGGCTGTATGAGAGAGTTCAGATCAATACTGTAGAGTCAGTGACCAAAAAGTAAGTTAAAACCTGTTGAGATTTCAAGTGGCATTTGGAAGATTTCTTGCATGCTGGACACAGCCAGTGTCCAGTCATTACTGAAGCATTCAAACCAGTGTTAAAAATTACGAATGAGAACACAAATACTCCTAAAACTAGATGTTAAGCAATAGAATTTGTTAACTAGAGCAGAAGCATAAAGATGTCAGGTATTGAAAATGACACCAAGCTCAGCATGTCAGAGCTCTAACCCATGTGAAAACCAAATCTGAGAACTGAAAAAACCTGCATGTTTTCACCTTGACTGTAAGCTGACTGCTGATGCATGATTGCAAGCTGTGTTACGAAACATGTGAAAAAGAAACTAAATGCTTTGAAAAACAAGTGCTTACCAAAGACCGCATGCTGGGAATGGAAATTCTTCTTTCACTAACACAGAGACCTTGAGAAATCACCAGCTACTACCTTTTCTTTCCCAGAACCAGCAATGCTGGACATATTTTGGTCATAGCCTCCAAATAATAACAGAAAGTCTCCTACATGAGTTATTGCATGGAAGAGTGGTCACAAACCGCACCCAGGGACAGATGGGTGGAAGAATCTAACTCCAGGCAACTCTACCAATGTAGGCTTTAGAAATACATCATGTAGCATTTAAAACTGCAAGAAGCACATAGACATTTCTTTACAGCATAGTCACTGAAATAATCCTGTGTTCTGCAATATATCACAAGCCAAAACCTACTTAGATCCCATATTCAGCTCTCCTGAAAAACATTTCATAGCTCAACTCATCTTATCAACCTCTTGGACATCTGAGTTCAATCATGTACTTATCAGACGTGTCTCAGTCAAAGGCTTGAAATGCTTTCCTCAGTGCAATTTTACCAAGTCAATGGGCTCCATCATGTGCTCACTAGTCTCTCCAGTTTTGCAAGTAACAAAAAATTATTTCTGATGAGCCCTCCCCTTCCCAAGAGCTCAGGCTACTCCATACAGATCTAGCACCTTGAGTCACATCTGGCCTGGCTTGTACCTTGCCTGTCATGATTTCTCTGTTTCTGACATACTGCCCAACTCGCTCAGCAGCCTCAGCTTTCTCCAGCCCTGCTTGGTAAACTCTGATCATAGAGCTGCAGTTCTGCTCCCCGACTGCTCTTTGCTCCCAGCTGCAGTTTCTGTATTTTAGCCTTTGACATGGGACAGGGGATCTCACTAATACCCTGATACCATTCCCTATGCTGTGGCCCCTGGCCCAGTCTCAGAGCCTTATACTGTGCTTCCCACCTTTCCTTGAAAATCGTGTCCCTCCCCAGTGCAGGGCCAGGAGACAAAAACAGCAAAGGCAACACCATAAGCCCAGAGTAACTCTAGTTTTAACTCTGGAGATGAAAAATTCAGTTTCCCTGCCTTCCAGAGAAGCTCTGAGACCATGATGGATCTTAGGACCTCCCCAACCCTCTTAAAACAGCCAAACACCAAACCCCTTCCCCTGTCACCCTGGAACTATTTTTCCCCGGCAGTTTTCTTCAAGTAATTAATTAACCACTGTCTGGACTAATTGTGGGGTTGATTCTCTACCCCTCCACAAATGTACAACTACAGAAATGCCTCAGTATCTACCATTCTCCTTGGCTGGTTTTGCTTCGCTTTTACTTTTTTTTTTTTTTTAATTTACATGAAGCCAAAAAGCCACCTCCACTACTGTTGTTTTTCACAGCTTTTTTTTTTAAATTATTTTTCACAATTGTGGTCACGTTTGCACAGCAGTGCTGCTCCAGAAAGCTGACATCAAATACCAGCGTGCCCACCTCAACCCCCCCGTGCACCGTCTCCCTGGCAGCACTGCCCTTTTCTATTCAACCTGCATCTTCTTTCAAAAATGAGAATGTGACCCAAAAAAACCCCTGAGTGTAGACAGGCACGTTAGCTCAGGATCTGGTTTGTTAGCTCACCTTTGCCAGCTCTGGGCCTGCCCCAGAGGAGGGGACGCTGTGGGGACAAGATGGCAGGTCCCTGCAGCCTTGGGCCTCCAGGCACCGCGCAGGCTCTGCTGGAACGGCCCTTCCTGCTCCATCCTGCCAGGAAAGCTGCTCCTCCCCAGGGAGGGACGCTGGCAGTGCCCTGGGAGCAGCTGCGGGGCAGGCAGCAGAGGCTGCTGAGCGCTGCCTCTGTTAGCAAGGGGCTGCCAAGCCCTCATGGTCCCGCAGGGTCTGCTCTGACCCAGGCCCCGCGGCGCCAGGGCCTTCCAGGGGCGGCCGTCACCATGGCAACGGGGCCTGCTGCGGGGATTTGGCCCTGCTGGCCCGGGAGAGGGGACCTGGGACCCCAGGGAGGGGACACGGGACCCCCAAAACAGGACACAGCAGCCCCCTGGGGAGATCAGATGGGGGTAACCGTGCTGAGGTGCCACCTCCTGCTCCAGCCCTGCAGCCCCCAGGCCCAGGGGCTGCTCCAAGGACAGGCCCAGCTTCCCCACTTCTTACTTGCCTCCCTTTGATGTTCCTAGCTCGTCAGGAATAAAAGGACTGCATGAATATACATCATCTGAAGTGTTCTTTGGTGTCTCCTTCAGCGATTAGTTTTAAATGGAAAAAAAAAAAACACCTCGTAGATTGTGTAAATAAAGAAGAAAATAGTTGTTTATTGAGGTGCTTTTAGGAGCAAGTTACACTGCATTTTGCAAGAACCCTTGGAATCACTTTATTTAAAAAGACAAACAACGCATGCTAAAAGAAACAGCATTCATTTACAAGGTAGCCTTTCATACATGTACAAAAATACTGAGCAACTGTAGAAAGCCTTGATCACAGTTTCATTCAGGAACAGCTGTGTGAAGATTGCAGGGTCTGCAGTCACCAGACACCTCTCTGCTCACAAGATAAACACATCCCTCCACCAGGCACCTGAGCGAGCAGATTTCTCCCCGGGGTCTGGGGCACAGGGACATCTGGAGGGGAATGGGCACCCTGAGAGGTGGGCTTGGCTCAGCACTGAGATCCTGGCAGAGCTCACTGCCAGAGAGGATCAGCTACGTGCTCTCCTCATCAACAAACTGGCCCTAATGCCTAAAAAATTAAATCGAAAATATCAATCAAGAAAAATTCCAGTCTCAGCCTGTCTCCAGAAGCCACAAGTCAGTAAACAGGGTGAGTTGATACCCTCTGGCCTTGCAGGATTGTTGACTTTCTGTGTTTTCTGTGGGCTTGGCTCTGCAAAGCCAAAAACACCCCTGGAGGAAGGCACAGCCCCTCCTTAGCTAGAGAAGAGTTAAGCTCCTTGTAGCAACCTGTTCTAGGCCATTACTAAACCCAGTTTAGTTTCTACTTGATAAACATGAGTTTTGACAAATTCCCTTGTTAAGAGTGATTTTGGATCGGTTTCACCCCTGCCCACGCTAGAATGGAGGAGTCACTGACCTGGAAAAATGCGTTCTGCTGTTTTGCAAGACATCTGGAGGTTGAGACAACACCAGCATGGGACAAATACTTGTGCTGTTCCACAAAGCCATTGTACCCCAAGTCCAGCCATTTTGCAGGTGAGCCACATGCAGACCCACACCAATCCTGCCAATATTATTACTGACAGGGGCAGTAATTTATAATCTAGACTTGATAGGATTTTTGTGGGACAGCAATGACTTTTGGATAGGTGAGCCCACACGTCTGTGGCACTGTGCACTCTGCCACATTTCTGAAGTCTCTTCAGAATAGATTTCTTTGCTGTAAATCTTGAGTAGTTTTAGCTCCCTGAGCTCTTAGACAGACACAAGAGGATTCATAAGAGAACTGTAATCCATGCATATGGAGATTTATTGCTCATGGCAGGAGGGTTGGAACTTGATGATCTTTGGGGTCCCTTCCAACCTTAATGATTCTATGATTCTATGATATTAATGAATATATTAGGTCTTCCTGAGCATTTAAAGCTCAGAATCAGACCTCTCCATCTAGCCCACCTTCCCTGAAAGGGAAAGTGAGCCCATATGTTGTTCTGTTGCTCACAGAAATGAGCCCCTGTGTTGCATCTAGACAAATTTATAGTCCAAAAATACTGCTTTCCATACTAAACTACAAGCAGGTGCTAAAACACCCTAAACAGGGTACCTGCAGCTCTCTACATTTGCTATACATCTAAAAAAGAAAGAAAAAGAATAAAATGACAAGTGATCAAAAATCAGAAACAGCTTTGGAAATGAGGTGGGTTTTTCTTGGACTAGGTGATCTTTTGAGGTCCCTTCCAACCCCTAGGATTCTGTGATTCTTTCCACTGAAGAAGGCAGGTGGTAACATTTTCAGATCAGCTACTGCATCAAGTTGCTAAGGTGACTTTCAGAGAGACCAGTAAAGGAATAGTTGATCTCAAGGTCCCAGCTGGCAGAACCTTAATTTCAGCCGGAGTAAGTGTTGGCTCTGACCAAGGTGTTACGTCTAGAACTGTAAGACATATCTTCATATACTTCATTTCTTTTCCTGGTTTTGAAATATTGCTTCAACTGAAAAACAAAGCAAACAGCCATTCAGAACAGACCATAAAAAGGGCCCAACCAAGGAGTCAATTTATTTCCTAGGAGTCCATCTGTTTGAAGTGGAAATGTACTTTTACATTTCCTCTCATAAGCCAAAGAGGTCTTAGAGGATTAGGTGGCAATTGTCAACCTATTTAAATTTTATTGTCAGTCTAATGTGATTTCACTAGAAGTTCCTTCAAGAGTGGGATGTAACTGTGGTCCCAACATAAGTAAAGGTTATCCTGAGTTTGTTGCTGATAACACAAGAGACCACTTCCCACAGGGCTGCTTGGTTTTAGCAGTCCTGAAGCCGTAAATGGAGGGACAAGATCAGATCCTGGCCAGTGATTCACACTCTGTTAATTCTGAGTAACCTTCATAAAGCAGAAGAATCTATCAAAGACAAATAACTTCTGGGCATTTTCTGCAGAATATGACTGTAAATAATACCAGTAAAGGGAAAAAAAAATATTCTCGGTTGCCTTTTTTCTATGGCAAAATTGTTCTCCCACAGTTACTTTCTGACATTTTATGACCTTTTGTTGTTATTGTGTCCCCCTCCAAACATTCTCTTGCATCTATTATATGATTGGTATCTACAGCTCCACTCCCATTTGACAGAGAAAAAAAAAGAAAGAAAAACAGAGTAGTGAGGTGCTCTGTTCAGGGAAGCAGGTACAAAGCCTGGCTGTGGTGTTGACTGACAGGCTGCCTGGAGTTTTGTTATCAAAAGGCAAACAGCATCTCATTTATGAACAGTTACAGGAACATCAGAGATGACACCCGGGAAACATTAACCGAGGGCAAAGATAAGACAATTGAAAGCCATGATTCCTTGGGTTTGTCTAATGTTTGCTTGACTGACTAACTACTTCCAAAGAATATCAAAGGCACTTTTCCCTCACCTGACCCAGCAGACTTACATTGACATGGGACAAGATGGAGCACATCAGTGCAGAAAACAGTATCACCACCACGATGGTAAGGCCATAGATGCCCCAGGAACTGCTGCTGCAGCCTGTCTGCTCCACTTCTGCATGGGAAATTATATTAGGATTATAAACAGGAAGAGGCAGTATTCTGTTTTTTACTATCAAAAAAGTTATTGCTGCTCAGCAAGAAATCAGGTTCCAACAAGATGCTACACAGTCACATTTGTCATCCCATTAGTATTCCCACTGGCATTCCCCGTGGTCTTCCCAGGCTGGTAAGGACTGGAGATGGCATGTGAAGGGTCTGTGAGGAGCACTCTACAAAGGTGATAGTTTCTATAGCACTGAAGAGAAGCAGGATCACACACTCATAAAGGAAACAGAAAATGTTTTACTGCAGGACTACAGGAACATAGAGGACTCATCCAGGAGTATATAGGGATATATCATGTCTAGGTTTGCAAGCAGCACAGGCAGAACTAGGAGGCTACTATGATCTGAAGGATACACACTGAACAGTGCTGGGGTGCTAGTGGACAGGGTTACAGTTCTATAAAACCTCAATTCATATCTGACTAACAGAATATCTGGTGATAACCCCATGTCTTTGATGTGCAGCTGCCATTTTTCACAACCCATGTTACTGAGTTGTTACACCAGTTATGCTTAGTGGCACAGAACGAGACCACAGCCTGTTTTGTAGGCTGCAGATAGATCCTTTGCAACCCTTGGGGTCTATGCAAACCTGATTTTAATTACCCAAAGACCTCATCAAAGCCCAATGAAGAAGGTTAAATTACACCAGTAAGATCAAAATAAAGCACCACGTTGCTGATTTTGTCTTCATCTTAGCAAATGGTTCCACCACCACCCTGCAGAAAAATTAAACCCCTGTCTTTGGAACATGGTCAGTGTGCTCAGTGTCTAGTAACAGTATGTGAGATCATCTCTGCTATTATCTGTGGCACTTGAAGTAAATGCCTGAGGACTTGTTCTGTACTCCCAGGTGTGACCTACTTTTAAACACAAAGACTTGCTGTAGGGAATAGTTTCTAACATACATTTATGTCACGTTAAGGTCACAGAACTGAAGCTAAAAATACTGAATCATTTCCTAAAACTGACACATTGTTCACAGACAAACTGAAGAAGTTGTCGTCTGATTTTGGCCTTTTTTTAAAATTATGCAGGATTATAGCAAGTTTTCTCCTCTATAAACCCCCTCTAGTTGTACAAGGCAGGTAGAAACAGTGCCTGTTTCTGTGCCCTAGCACAGAGGAGTTTGAGCACTTCTCCAAACTTCCCAGATACTGGAAGAAGTCTAGCCATGGCTTTGTGCTTCACCTGTCCTGACTGAAGTCCTGCAAGCTTGTAGCCCATCTTTCATATTCCAACATGCCTACAGTTAGTTATGGTTAAACAAGCAACAGGACGGTACCTTTAACCAGCATCATGGTGCCACTTCTGTTTGCTGAGAGGAAAAGGGAACCTTTCGGCACCCCAGCACACACATAGATATCACTGTCATTTTTCTGCAGGTTGTGTAGAGTCACCACTATTTTATTTTCTCCCTTTGAATACTCCAAACGATCAGCAAAAGCAGGAGAAACAGTTGAAACATTCCGGCCTGACACAAACAGCACTTGCTCATGTCGCGTGTGAGTCTTGAGCAAGTAGATCCCCTTGTCTTCCTGTGAGCTTTGCAGTGCACAGGTGATGCTGACAGACTGGCCTGGCTCAGCAGCCACATAGAGTGGTGACTGTTCCACAGCTCCACTGGTGTTACCTGAAAACAAGAGAGATCAATGGCTGCCACAGACTTATACAGTGCATTTTAACCAGGGAGCAATTACAGGGGTCAAGGACAGAAAGAAACAGACCACAGAAATGTAGATCAAATTATTTTTTTAAAAGGCTACTTTTACACGTCTTGAGAAGAAGGATCCATTTCAGTGCAGGCTGGGGTGTCTTCCTGCCCCAAGATCTGAAAGTAGGACCGACCAGACAGATTTACCTGGTTGTGAAGGGTCTCCACCTACCAAAAAAATACATATACTGAGCACTTCTAAGGGAATACAGCCTCAGCAGCTTGCCCCTGAGACATGATTCTTTCTCCAGTGAGATAAATTAAAAGATCTGGGGTCTATTGGTCTGGATAAATTCATACAAAGAGAGCACCATCAACTTTGGTTTAAAAAAGCAGTTATTAATTACTTGCTCTCCAGCTGAGAAGATATTTCACTGAGTTTCTCCGAGGACATGCCCTGTTCCTTTTGACATTATCATTCACGTGGCTGAGGGAATAAAGACAATTTTTCACATTTGTACAAAAGATAAATCTGGGAAAGCTGCAGGCATTTTAGGGAAGAGGATCAGAATCAAAGAGATAAGGTAATTTAATAAAAAAATTTGGAGAAACAGTACATAAGCAACCAGATGGAGTTAATTTGAGAAAGCAAAGTTGAGAAGTCTGAAAAGAGAAGCCTAAGGAAGGACATGGTAAGTCATTAGAGATACAAATGACTATTACTGACCCAGCAATCAATTAGGTTTTCATGCCTTGGGGAAAGGAAAGGAAGCAAACCCTGTAATTTTTGGTAAAGAGAAGAAAGGAAGAAAACCCTGCAATTTTTAGTAAAGATGTTTTGGGTTAGATCGTCTCATCCGAAGGGCAGGTATGGAGAGGAGTAGGTGCCAAAGAGCATTGCAGACTCAAGCCTCTTCTAATGCCAAAAATGAGAATAATTCTTCCCCTAATCAGAAATGACAGCCAAAAGGAGAACTTTCATTCATCAACTGCTTGTTAAGAAGACAAAAACTTCACATCTCTTTATCCACTGCCCAACTTGCAAACCCTGCCTGGCACCAGCTTCCCTATTATCAACTTGTCATTTAAGATGAAATAGTAAACCCAAAAGATTTGCAAAAAACACTACCAAAAAGAAAGGCTCATTGCTTTGCTCATTACAACAAACACTGCAAATATGACTGACTGTTTTGGAAAGAGCTTTTCACTGTTTGCAGACTGCTGCAGCCACCTATGACTCATGTAAAAAGCTGTAGGTAGGATTAAACTAGTCATGAATTGATGTTCTAGGGGTTTTCTTGGTACTTTTCTACCTAAGGTGCTTTCTTTTTTTTTTCAGGGAACAGACCCACACTTCCCTTCAAATCAGGACATTATCTGAGCAGACATGGGGTAAGTTCCCTCAGAATTTCCCTCCCATCAGGCTTTCTTCCAATCTTTGACTTAAAATACATATCTGTAGCTATTAATTCACAATACAGAAGGTGGAATTGCAATACCTTTCACCAGGACTATGGTTGTCTTCCCCCTCAGCTTTCTGTGATAGCGTGTGGTTTTAAGAAACGTAAAGCACTGGTAGATATCAGAATCAGATTCCTGTACATTGTGTAGAGTTACCCTGAGATTCCTCCCATCCTTTGAGTACTCAGTACGATTAGCCAGAGCAGGATGGATGTAGGGAGAACCCTGCTTGGAAGCCTGTATCACATTCTCCAGCCGTATGCTACTTGTCAAGGTGGTTACCAGTTCATTCTCTGAACCTTTCATTGAGCAAATTATGTTGATGGAGTCTCCTTCCCAAACACTGATTGTGTCTGTTGACTGTTCATTTTCTTCACCTAAAAATAAGAGATGTGTAATTGAAATTATGGTAGCAGAGTTCTTCTTGATACATTATCCAAGTAGCTTTCAAAAACAACTTCCCTGTCAACAGAACAGCTCTGCAAGACTGGACCTTAGGCCTGCTATCCTGGGAAAACCACCTTTTGGCTGTCCTGAATCCTACAGTGCCTTTCAGTGTCACTGACCTGTGTGATTCAGCATCTCCCAAAAGCTTAAAAGATACTGGCAAAAAAATTTTTTTAAAGTGGCTTCTGTCACTCATGCAAAAAGTGTCATCTACTCTGTAGCTTCTCAGCATAATCCTGGTAGCTGTCAAACTATAATTGGAGCTGGTTGAGGATCTAAATCTGGAATTCAAAGGGATCAAAAAATGGCAGAAAATGGAACAAAATTACAGATTTAATTTTTTTTTTCCAAAGAAGGCATTAGCAACCCCAGGAAACTGAATGATTTAGTCTCTTAGGAAGGGAACCGCAGAAGATGTAACTCTTGCCTATACTAAGAAACAAAGGTCTAAAAATAGATTACAAGACCCTTTGAATTCACTAATAACCTCAATTCTGAAAACAAATGGAACAGCAAGTACTGTTTGAATTGCAAGGAACAGAGAACAGGAAATATCTAAAAGAAATTACACTACAAGTAAGAGAAGATCTGGAGTATTGTATATCTAGGACAAATACAGTATGGAAAGGATAGAATTATCCAGTTAACAAGCAAATGAGGACCCTTATCTACTGAAAAGAATTTCCTTTAATAGGGAACAAACTCAGAAGTCAACTACAGATAGTGGAAATTTAGACACAGTTGGTCAATCCAACCTGACCTGACACAAGGACATTCCTCCTACAGTACCAAGAGGAGGAATTAAGGCAACCCAAATGTTGTCAACAATTATCTCCCAAAGCAGCAGAGGAACAGGGTGATGGAGAAGGCTGGAGAAATGCAGAGCACTCAGCCTTTAGAAGCAGGGAATAAAAGCCCAGGAAATTCATTCCATCAGCCTCAAGTCAGTACTTCTAAGCTGACCCACACTTAGGTGGTCTAAGAAGCCAAGGAGCTAATGACAGCCACAGGTCCTCAGTTGTTTTCTCCAAAAGATCAGGGTTCAAGACTTAAATAACAGTTTTAGAAAAGTATATTGACCCCTCAACAACTAAAGAATGGCAGAACTACTCAAAATAAATATTCTCACCAGTTGCACTGCATCTCCCTTCCAGACATGCTGATTTATGGATCCCTTCCAGTTACTGTCAGTTGTCACAGGGTGGAAAAGGACTAACTGCATGGAAGCATCTTTTTCCTCAGCGTGTTCTCCTCAGAGATTTAGAGTTTTCCTCAGAAGTGCCTCCAGCTTGTACTCTCAATAGCTACAATACCCACAATGGATATTTCTAAGTAAATTACACCTTCAATAATTATGTTCCTAGTAAATATCGCTAATTATTTCTATCCAGAAGTGGGATCCCCCTGTCAACCTTAATCATACAGACACAGTTCATGTTGAATTACTGGGAAAACAACTTCCACACCTTCTACAGAGAATGATTTCTGTGTAGAAAAGTTACGACCAGATGATTTTTTTCTAAAAACTCAATCTATCATTTCAGAGAATGTTTTTCAAAGTTCCACCTAATGGTGAATTTGTCAGGAAGATGCTTCGGATCTTAGACTACATGGAGAAAACATTTTAAAAGGAAATAAAATATTGAGACTTGTGAAACATAAGAGCATCTCTGTTGTACGTACCGTTCTGGCCAGGGAAGCACAGGAGAAGCAGAAGAGATGCAGTTGGGACCCATGAGATCCACAGCATTTTAAAGTCTTTTGAGTTGTTCTCTATTATCTTATCAATGAGTTAAAGACCTGAAGAAAGGGTTGTTTACCACAAGTTTCCTTTTCTTCCAGCTACATTAGCTATCTACTCAAAGAAGGCAGCAACGTGCTTATTTTGCCTCAGTGTCACAACAAATGTGACAGAGAAGGGGAAGACAGACTGTCTAGAGGTGTATCTTGGTTTTGACTTCACACTTAAAACGCCCATAGTTTCCTACTACTGAACAAACCCCAGCCCTGAGGGCAGGGTTGAAAGAGTCTCTATATGGGGAGTATCTACCTGCCTTTTACAGTCAACTGAGAAAAGGTAAGACTCAAAGTTGCTCTTCATGGTGTCAAAATCTTATCTCCCAGCTATGGCCTCACTGGGAATGTAGGTGCTTGGTACAATCAGTTCAGGCTGCCAGTGTTCCCATGGGCTTCACAGGCTGCCTGGCTGGTGGCTGCAAATGCAAAGTCTTGGCTGTGTAAGGAGCAAGTAGATGAGAGATACTCTATTACTGCAGGTAAACCTTTAATTATTATATAAACCCTGCTCACGAAACAACAGGTTTGATCTGTATCTGGGCAATGACAATGGGTATAAGTGCCAATCAGCAGCACAGTACATAACTCCTGTGTGCTCCCTGGCTCCACATCTAATCACACATGCTGCAGTGTCTGCACAGGACCTGCTGTGTTCCCAAAGAGCTGCTTGAATGAGCTTCAAAATGCCATCAATTATTGTAAAGAAAGTTCAGGCAGGTTGTGAAATGTGTGTTCAGGTTGCCCAACACAGGCTCACTACTGGAGACACAAGCAGATGCCAGGAGACATCTCTTAGTCTCCCTCTTTGATTTTGCAATACTTGAGAAGTGAATCATGACACTAATACTTATAATTACATAATTATTATTACATAATAACAATTATAATTACATAATAATCAATATTGTAATTATTATAATTACTATCATTATTATAACAATTCTTATATTATTATAATTACATAATAGTAATTATATTAATCATAATTATGTAACAATACTTATGATTATGAGTTTGGGAATCACGTGATGGTGATGCTTTCTGAGAGAGATCAATATACCAAATACCAATACAACCAATACAGGGTTACCAATGAATAGCCAGTTTTTTTTAAGCTGGTATTTTATTGTGATAAGTACAATCACAAACATGTAACAATTATAAAAACAAACAAAAAAATCATTTAAACAAAATTATAACTATCATATTATGGCATTTGGTGACTGAGACCACTTGTTAATGGAATTTAAAAACTACCAAAGTTACTAAGTATT